TCAACAACCCTTAGCTCATCTCCTTGTCCTGAACAAATAACTCAGCTATCCCTGGCTAAGAGATTAGGCCAGGTTAAAGGTTTACTCCTGAGCTAAAAGCTAAAAGTTCATCATGCTTTTAGCTCTAAGAAAGAAAACATTGTGGCCAATAAATTACTGGATGGGCATTGATAACCTTGAGTAAAAGTTTAAGAATCCTTCTGGTGCCAACTAACAGACTAAATGTCCTGTTTCTTTGTACCCTAAATCTTTGTATGTGACTGTCATATCCCACGTGACTGCTAGTTCCTTGGGATGTATACAAATCATCTGAATTCTAAAATAAATCGTCCTGTTGGGAAGACACAGCTCCCAGAGTTTGACTCTGTCGCCGATCAGACCCTCTGCCCCGAAGCCAGCAGGTCCCCCGCTAAGCAAAGCAAACCTGACAAGTGTATTGTGTATTGCCTGCATGTATGTGAGTGAACCCTTGTCATGAAATGCCATGGAGGTCAGAAGAGGGCATCGGATTCCCCTGGAACTGGAGTTAAGGACAGTTCATAGCCGCCATGGGGGTACTCTGTACAAGCGACCCTCTGCCCCGAAGCCAGCAGGTCCCCCGCTAAGCAAAGCAAACCTGAGCCCCCACAAGTGTATTGCCTGCATGTATGTGAGTGAACCCTTGTCATGAAATGCCATGGAGGTCAGAAGAGGGCATCGGATTCCCCTGGAACTGGAGTTAAGGACAGTTCATAGCCGCCATGGGGGTACTGGGTGCTCTGTAAAAGCAGTCAGTGCTCTTAACTGCTGAGCCATCTCTCCAGCCCCTCCTTAGTAAATCTGTAACATTAAATTTCCAATGGGCAAAGATGAGAGACAAGGCACATCTACAAAAGAACAACCAATAGGGCCAGCCTGAGAACTGTTTACCAATTCTCTATAATTAAAAGGACTAAAAGTTGAACTACCAAAGACAAGGACTCTGGAGTATAATTGTGAGGTCAATTACTTGGTCTGATAAACCGTAACCCA